AAATAATTATTACTCAAGCCAATTAGTTCGTGCAAAAAATTGTTGGACGTTAATGTAAAGGCTTTTAAGGGACCTTCAATGTCTAAGCTTGAAGGCTCTTTAAGTTCACTTTGGAAGACACTCAGTTCTTGCGACACGGGAAAGTTTTGGTTAGGATACTCATTGTCGTAAAGGAAATTAGGGCCTTTCCACCATAAATTTGTCTCTAAAAGTTTCACAGGGTCCAATCCTCGGGATATCAAGTCCACGGGATTCATCTCGGATGGCACATGATTCCATTGGGACTTTAGCGTCAGTTCTTGTATGAGTGCAATTCTATTTTTCACGAATGTCTTAAGACTCGTTGGCTTCTTTTGAATCCATGCTAGTACAATCATGGAATCAGACCAAAGGTAAACTTTGTCTGTTTGCAATTTTAATGCGGAAAGTATCTTTTTCATTAACTTGGACAACAGGACTGCAGCACAAAGTTCCAGTCTGGGGATACTTAGGGCTTTAAGTAGGGCAACTCTAGATTTGCTAGCAACTAATTTCACATTTATGTCACCTGCAGAGTTGAAAGACTTGCAATAAACGACCGCTCCATAACAACTCTCCGATGCATCAGCAAATCCATGAAATTCGATTGTTTTAGACTGTTCTATTGTAATGCACCTATCAACCTTAATGTTGTTCACGCCTTTCAACGTGGAAATAAATTCGCTCTACTCCTGAGATTCTGCAGCAGGAAGTGGATCACCCCAGTCAATGTTCAATTTCCACAATTTCTGCATAAATATTTTGGCCTTCGCTATGACAGGGCCGGCTATCCCTAGGGGGTCAAAAAGTTTTGCAATGGTGGACAGAACTGACCGCTTGGTAAAAGTGTTGTTCTCAACCACTGATATTTTGAAGGTATAGCAGTCCTCTGATGGTCGCCAAATGACTCCTAAGGTTTTTGTTTCATCGGCGCTCGAAAAGTCATAATCGTTTTTACTTGGTGAAAGTTCTGGATGGCTAGCAGACCATTTATGTAGACTCATACCGGCTTTATCGAGAATTGAAATCAGTTGCCGTCGTATTTCCTTCGCTTCATCCAGAGAAGGTGCTGAATACAACACATCATCCATATAGAAGTTGTCACGTAGAAGAGGAGCTGCCAAAGGAAAATTTATCCCCTCGTCAAGAGATAGCTGATNTGCTAAAAAACTAGCACTCACGGTGCCGTACGTGATAGTTCTCAATTCATAAGCTTTTGTTGGGCCATTCGCATGATCCTTCCAAAGGATTCTTTGAAGACAATGCTGCTTGGAGTTCACCAAAATCATTCTGTACATCATCTTTATATCCGCTTGAAACGCGTATGTGTGCCTTCGAAAGCTAGTCATTATGCTAAATAAGTCTTCCTGTATCACCCCACCATTATATTGGATAGCGTTAAATGAGGTGTAGCATTATGCGTCAAGCTAGAAGCGTTGAATACTACGCGAAGCTTCGTAGTACTCTTCTCAGGACGATACAAACCATGGTGTGGCATATAATAGGAACTTTCCGGTTCTCCTTCATCTTTAACTTCACTCAAGTGACCAAGCCTCTCGTATTCATCAAGAAAGTTTTTGCAAAGTCTCAAATGTTCTTGGTCCTTTGATAACCGATACCACAGAGAATTCAGCCGTTTAAGAGCAATATCCCTTGACTCGCCTAAACACGAGGGTTCTTCCTTAAGGGGTATAGTTACTACGTATCTACCTTCTTTATTACGGAAATGTGTTTGCTCAAAATATTCCTCGCAAAAGGTCGTTTCTTTACTTTTCGTTAACCCTACGTCTAAATTTTCAACTTCCCAAAAACTCTTTAATGTTTTGTTTAAATCATCCTCTAAAATTAATCCGCAATGCACATTGGTTGTATGCGAATCAATATAACTACCACTCGCTACGTATCCGAAAACGGTATTTTGTAGAATTAATTTTGATTCGTGTAAATATATTTGCCCCGACCGTAATAATTCATAGAATATCTCCGCGCCTAACAATACGTCAATTTTATCAGGAATGAAAAAGGTTTCGTCAGCTAATCTAACATTAACAGGAACCTTAACTACTGCATTAAGAAATTTCGACGGCGTAAAATCAATTATTTTTTCAACTACTAAAAAGGTTAATTCCTTTTCAAAACTCTTATCTTTATTTGAAATCGAAATCCTAACACACCTATTTATATTCATCGTTGAATCATTCAAACAAGAAATTTGTGTGTTCATTTTTTCGTAAGACAAATTAAGATTTTGTAAACAATTGCGATTAATCAAACATGATTGGGAGCCTGAATCTAGCAAGCACCTAACTTCCTGCCATAAGGAATTTTTATCCTTAATAAAACACTTAGCCGTACTCAAAAGAACAGTTTTTGTGTTAAATTTATTTTTTTCATAACTGGTGGTGACTACAGACATATTTCCATTGGCGCCGTCTTGGGAGGAAGTGGAAGGGGTGATGGAATATTCAAAACTCAACTGTGATTCTTGGTTAACAATAGCGGGTGATTTATTACTTCTGTTTACTCTTGGAAAGTGGATCATTTTATTATGAGGTTTACCGCAAAAGCAATCCCTAAATTTGCACGTTTGAACGGAACATTTGGCGGATAAGCGTTTAAAACATAATTTGTTACTCTTGACTACTTCTAATCTTTCATTAATGGACATATTTTTAAATTTCGAACACATATACAAGGCATGCTCATTAGATTTACAAATGACACATTTAGGATAACTTATTTCGGATAAAAACACGTTAGAAATATTTTTATTAGAACGGAAGTC